CAATATAAACAAGTGTACTGCAGTTTCTTGAAGCAATATAAACAAGTGTACTGCAGTTTCTTGAAGCAATATAAACAAGTGTACTGCAGTTTCTTGAATCAATATAAACAAGTGGACTGCAGTTTCTTGAATCAATATAAACAAGTGTACTGCAGTTTCTGGAAGCAATATAAACAAGTGTACTGCAGTTTCTGGAAGCAATATAAAAAAAATGTACTGCAGTTTCTGGAAGCAATATAAACAAGTGAACTGCAGGTTCTGGAAGCAATATAAACAAATGTACTGCAGATTCTGGAAGCAAAAAAAACAAGTGTACTGCAGATTCTGGAAGCAATATAAACAAGTGTACTGCAGTTTCTGGAAGCAATATAAACAAGTGCACTTCAGTTTCATGAAGCAATATAAACAAGTGTACTGCAGTTCCTGGAAGCAATATAAACAAGTGCACTGCAGTTTCTTGAAGCAATATAAACAAGTGTACTGCAGTTCCTGGAAGCAATATAAACAAATCAACTTATTTCTCTCAGTTTGAGTTTCCGAAACCAACCAGTAAATAATACGGTCCACCCTGTAGACTATAAAGTTTTGATAGTTATAACTTATAACCACATTTTTCATTACGTTTAGTAGTAAAATAAAATATTTATTAGACGTAAAGTTAACCTAGCCATTGATGTGTTCAGAAGCGTGCAATATAAAGTATAGTTTAATTAGCACTAAAAACGTGGCTATACTAATCTAATTATGGTCATTAAAGGAAGATACATCAGGAATTGATCTTTATTTAAAAAAAACAACCTAAATTCAGACAGTGTAGCAGGTTACAGAATACCCACCAAGAATGATGCTTTGAAGGCGACCTTATTTTCTATATTTATACTTTGCTTAAATTACTGTATGTCTGTTTATATCCAATAAACGTCAAAACTGCTGAACCGATCGAGCCCAAGTGGGACCTCACATGACCCAAGGGAAAAGTATATGGATGCTCAAAATTACAAAATGTGTGTCCAAAAGATTTTGATTTTTGTAAAACTTGAAAAACTATTATCAAATCCGCGAACTTTTTTTGTTATTGTTTTATACTGTACAATGAGAAGATGCTGAATTGTTGTACTGCCATCCATAGAGCATACAGTCTTTGGTTAAATTACGCTTAAAGCAAAGAAACAAGTGTACTACATCTGTACAGTGTACAGTACATCAAACCGAAAATAAAAAAAAAACAGAAGAAAAGCATTTTGTCTCATTCTTAGTTTGTAATTCATAGTATTGCATTTTCATTTCTTGCACGTTTTTGTGATGAATCAGCGTCGTGAGCAGGTGGGGGGGGGGGGGGGGATCCTCCAAATGGTTCCCAAGTGGGTATTTATAGTTCCCTCTGATAACCGAATATTCATTAAAATCATTAAAAGGTTCAACAAAAATACCGATTTTACCTTCTTTGGTTTCGTAGTAATCGTGTAGTTTAGAAAATCGCTAGAAATATTGAAAACTGTACTTTACAGGGCAAAAACAAGATGACACACTGATGATATGATAAGAGACGAAATTCTAATTCAAAGAAAGTCCCCAACCCCCTGCAAATAAAATTGCACATTTAAAACAGTTTTTGTTTGAAACAAGAAATTTTTAGAATCTAAGACAGAGATGAGAAGTTCTTGTACTTTAAATGATTAAGTTTTAAATATTGTCTAGCAAATATAATTCATTTATAATGGTCTGCGGTTGAATAATACCCCTCACACCAACCCCTGGAATTCATTTTTAAATTTGTTGTATTAGTTGTTTCTTGTCAGTGGATAGGGGAAGGTGTCACACCATGATACAGTTCCAGGTGGTTATAAATACAGTACAGTACAGTACAATACAGTACAGTACAGTACAGTACAGTTCCAGGTGGTTATAAATACAGTACAGTACAGTACAGTACAGTACAGTTCCAGTACAGTATAGTACAGTACAGTACAGTACAGTTACAGTACAGTACAGTACAGTTCCAGGTGGTTATAAATACAGTACAGTACAGTACAGTACAGTACAGTTCCAGGTGGTTATAAATATACAGAGTGATTCTTAATTTAGTCCTTTCACAAATCATGTTTGACTTGGTCATTAAAATGGGATATTTAATTTAAGTCTTTAAGCTTTCAGTTGAAGAGAAAAGGAACTAAGGAATTGAGTCTTGGGTGTAACTTTGCAACCAAACGTAGTAGTAGACCTTAAATATTACATACTACGAACTCTGTTAGATCAAATAAACTAAATTTGAAATATCAAAGCTAATTCTTAACCATCAAACAGCAAAGATGTAAGGATTGGAAAATTTGTTTGTGGCAAATACTCGATTCCTTTTACATGATTTCCAAACATCAATTCAAAATTCTTGCATATTGTTAAACAACTATTCTCTACCCATTCGTCATTTGACACTTTTATACATTTTGAATCCTGATTCCTAAGTAACAATGAGGAATTGATATGAACTTTTTTGGTCATCTTTATTGTCTCTCAGCAGAGAAAACACGATTCAAATAATTAATCAGAGAAAAAAAAAATAGGTTATAATGCTAGGAAAGTTAATTGCAGTTGCGAATACTCTGCGTACATATTGAAACCAGTTCTCTTTGGGCGAAATTTGTAAACAAGAACAGATGCATTAGTGTTCGTTGAGTATCCGCGAGGAGGATAAAAGCATTGAATTTTGAAAATTTTGATAATTCACATAAAAGTTTCCTATGACCAGAATATGATCATTTATTTTTTATTTGGTTGATGGATCCCATGTCAGGCTATGACATCCGTCTTGTGTATACACTACCGCCCAGAGACAGTACACTGCATACAAAGTTGCGTACACCTCTGAAATAACTTTCCTTGCATTATAACCTTGCTGAAAATTACGTCAATGAATAGACTTGAAAAAGCTAATATTAGATTTTCAGGTATTATTAGTGCTTCTGCTTGTTTATAACATGGTGGCTTGTCAACAAAATACTCTCAAAACTATTGAAGAAAGGTGAATAGTTAATAAAATATTCAGAGGGACAGTACAGTAAAAAGCAACTATGTTATGAAAATTCTATTAGGGATTAAACCTTTTCCTTGAAAGTTAGAAGTTACTTTATCAAGATTTTTATTGGGATAACTCTAAATATATATCAGAAAATAAAGTGTTTTGCTTGTGAATCGTTAGTGGTACTTTCAAATTCAAAATTAGGACAAACAAAATACAGGATAAAAATTTAAAGCAAGATTATCAGAATGTGAACTTTGCACAATATGCAAACACGGGATTTAAATAAAGTGATAGATTTAGTGATATCTCGTTTCATATTAAAAGTTCCTTTAGCTCTGAGTTTCAACTAAAATTTAAACTGATACTTTTTTACATACAGTAAGAACAAGAAATCTCTGGAATAAGACTTTTTGCCTCAAATTTTGGCTTTAAGTCTGATGAACACGAGACACAGCAATTTTTCAATAACTTACCAGTAAATCTATTTGCTTTGTAACAACATCAAATGCACTTCAGTATTGTTTTAATGTTGTATATTCATATTCTACAGTATTTTGGTTACCACTGTAGTAACATTACAAGATATATTTCACAATGCCGATATATCAAATCTTTATAAATGATTGATTATACAGGGTTACCCACAAAGGATGAGACTTCAGAGACGATTGTTCGGAATTTATATATTCACGATTCTTTGACTGAAAACAATTGCTTTTTTACAAAATCATTGAATAAGCCATTAGGTTACTATATCTAAGACAGAATACATATATAAACACGGGGATTGTCATATTTCAAAAGTTTCTGGTCGTCTCTACAGTCTCATCCTTTGTGGATAACCCTGTATCCAACTGAATGTTTAGAAGACGTGAGTTTCTAGAGAGCCTTGGTAGGAAACTGACCGTCGAGAATAACAAAACTTTGGAAACAGGTTTTTCCTATTTCTCTCATTAATTGCTTAATGCTTACAAGTTCAAAACTCTAATAATTTTGTTCCATGGATCGTACACCGTTTCATGTTGTTAGCAATCATTCTAATATATATATAAATATATATATAGATACTGAATACTGTCCACATACCTTTATTTTCTTATACATATCCTTTGCAACCTGATGTCGTAGATCTTAGATATTTGAAAAAGCAAAAACAGTGACAGTTTAAAATATAGTTCCAAAGGAATTGAGTCTTTGCGACAAACTCCGATTTTCAAATCCCTTTATCTCTGCAACCCAATGTCATAGACCTTAGATATTTCAAACTATTAATTCTGTTAGATCAAATAATCTAATTTTGAAAAATGAAAGGTTGTTTGTTGCAAATTTAAGAAAATTTAAGTTTGTGGCAAAGACTCAATTCCGTTGTATGTAAAGAAGAATTACAAAATTAGAGGTTGAGGCCAATAATCAAATCCAAATATTTGAATGAATTAAAATAATTGAAATATTTAGATTTGACTGAAAAGGATTCTCCAGAGCAGCCGAGAACTCCTAGGCAGCGGGATTTCTTAGGTATACAAAAAGGCTAAAATAAGAAATCGGATATTTTTAAAATACCATGCTTAGAACAGCTATCAATGTCCCACTTGTTGGTGATGTTGTCGATCGTAATAATTAATTAAAAATAAAAAAACGAAATTTTATTTTTAAAAATTCTGAAATTTTTTACAAATAATAAATACTTCCTCTTAATCAATGAAATATTCTGGTCATAGGAAATTATTATGTGAATTATCAAAATTATCAAAATTTAATGCTTTTTACCTCCTCGGATACTATACGAACACGAATGCATCTATTCTTGTTTACAAATTCCGCCCAGAGAGAACTGGTTTCAATGTGTACGCAGAGTATACGCAACTGCAATTAACTTTCCTTGCATTACACCCTTGCTCTTTAGTTTCATAATCTTGAATTCTGCACTGTTCAGATATTTTGGAGGATTCGGAGGATACTTTTGAATTCGAAGGATCCAGAGAACCTCCGAGAGTATTTAGGTTAAAAAAAATACAGATATTCTTAGATAGTTTTTAAAAACGTTAAAGATGAATTACCTAATTTCGTATTTTATTTTACATTTTCCTTCCCCTTATAGGATTTACTAACCGAAGTCCAGGCATAGCTAACATAAATATATATTATATATATTATATAGATTATATAGATTATATAGAAATTATATAGATTATATAGATTATATAGATTTCCTACTCCTAGCACTGGACAAGACCCCTTTGTAAACCTTCCAGATCCGTTCGAACCAATTGATTCACTCACTCAGCTTCTCAGGTTCAATTTTGATCAAAATATCTGAAAAAAAATAGTTTTTCTCCAATTCTTCTTCTTTTTCAATTAAATCCAATCCAATCCAATCAAATCAAATCAAATCAAATCAAATCAAATCAAATCAAATCAAATCAAATCAAATCAATCCAAATCAAATCAAATCAAATCAAATCAAATCAAATCAAATCAAATCAAATCAAATCAAAAATCAAATCAAATCAAATCAAATCAAATCAAAAATCAAATCAAATCAAATCAAATCAAAAATAAAAAAATAAAATAAAATAAAATATAATCAAATAAAATCCAAAATGTGGGAACTATCCAACACTCAAAAGCTTCCAAATTTCAGAATGTAGTTTCCAGTCTTTAATGAATATTGTTTTCTTAACAAATACAATTCGTACGATCCCAAAGGGATTTAGTCTTTGCCACAAACGCAAATTTTCTAATTCCTATCTATATATAAATTTGGCTTGTCTGGGTGTCTGTTTGTTTGTTTGTATCCAATAAACGTCAAAACGGCTGAACCGATCGGGCCCAAATTTTTTGTAGGACATATAGGGACCCCAGGGAAGGTTTATGAATGATCAAAATTTCAAATATTTGTCTTCATCAAAATTCGATCTTCATTAAATTTTTGAAAATTTTGAAAATCCACGAAATTTTTTGTGAAAATCCGCGAATTATTTTTGTTTTGTTTTACGATGTACACAAAGAGAACATGTTTACAATTAATTTAGAAGAGGCTAGTATCTTTACAATTTGATAGAGTACATACTACATATTTGATATTTCAAACTTAGATTATTAAATATGAAAGCTTTCATAGTTAGAAATATCAAAGGTCTACACATTGGGTTGCAAAGATGTAGGGATTAGAATATCAGAGTTTGTGGCAAAAACTCAATTACTTTAAGCTATTAAAAGTATAATTTTAAAGAGGTTTAGAACTGAACTTTGCAGGATACATCTATTTTGTTTCAATTTACCAACAAATTCTTTATAATTTTTATTTCTATTCTAAAATTTCATGAACTTTTGTTTCATTATTTTGCTAGTGCTAGGGAGCGGAATACAGCCATCGGAGGAATTCTCACCCAGTTCGATCAGTTCGGAACTAAAACTTTATTAGGTTATATTTTTAAAGGGATTCGTAAAATAATTTATTCCAGATATTCGGATAATTTATATCAGAAAGGTTAGAAAGATGTATAAAGGGATATAGTAAAAAGTAAAATGTCAAACTTCAGTAAAATTGAAAATAAAAGTTTTTGGTAAAAAAAAATATTGTTTACAAGGGAAGGATTACACAGGTTCAGATATCTTTTAATAAAAATAAAATAGAAATAATAAAAGAGATTTTTTTATATACGGTGTCCAAATAGATAATAATATAAATATAGCATTGATTTGGAAACAGTCTAAAATTTCCAGGCAGTTATAAATGACAAAGCGAATATAATAAAGGTTTGTGCACCTTTTCAAAATGGGGTCTTACTGAAATGTATCTTAAAAATTGACGGAAATGACATTAGAACAATGTTATTTTTCACAATAAGTTGAATTTGACATGATATCACCATCAATTTTAAAGAAGGAAAAGAGGTCGACCAAATTATGGAAATTCGGCGAACATTCCTGTAGATACAAACTAGCATGAAAAGGTTTCATAAAAACAAGTTTTTCAATGATCTTCAGGTCGAAGTGTATTTGGGTTGGATGAGTCAGGAGGAAACGTTGTTCAAGTCTTAGAATCATCATCTCAGTTCTCTGTATTTATCAAAACACTGATCAATACAGGTCTATATGAAGGATTAAAGGTCAGTTCTCTGTAATTATCATAGGCTCATAGCATGGGTCAAGATAACCTGAAGAATTAAAGATTAGGTCACTGTCCGAGCTTCTGGAGGGGCCCCTCCTCTATTGAAATTTATGATATGAAATAAAATGTCATGGGATGAAAGACGCAACGAAAATTGAATTGAATCAATGACTTGAAATACCCGTTAAAATTATTTTCTCATCTTATTATTTTACTGTAAAATTACAGATAGAAAGTGTGAGAATTGGAGTTTACAGATAGAAAGTAAGAGAACAAAAGTTTACAGATAGAAAATAGGAGAACTAGAGTTAACAGATAGAAAGTAGGAGAACTGGAGTTTACAGATATAAAGTAGGAGAACTGGGTTTTATAGTTAGAGAGTATGAGAACTGGAGTGTACAGATATAAAGTAGGATAACTGGAGTTTACAGATAGAAAGTAGGAGAACTGGAGTTTACAGATAGAAAATAGAAACACTGGAGTTTACAGATAGAAAGTAAGAGAACTGGAGTTTACAGTTAGAAAGTAAGAGAACTGGAGTTTACAGATAGAGTATGAGAACTGGAGTTTACAGATTTAAAGTGGAAGAATTCGAGTTAACAGATAGAAAGTAGGAGAACTAGAGTTTACAGATAGAAAGTAGGAGAATTCGAGTTTACAGATAGAAAGTAGGAGAACTGGAGTTTACAGATAGAAAGTAGGAGAACTGGAGTTTTCAGATAGAAAGTAGGAGAACTGGAGTTTACAGATAGAAAGTAGGAGAACTAGAGTTTACAGATAGAAAGTGGGTGAACTGGAGTTTACAGATAGAAAATGGGAGAACAGGAGTTTGTGAACAGATAAGAAATACTGCTTTTTGTTCAATTTTTAGGGGGGGCGCAATTATGCCCCCCTGAGTTAATGGTTTAGTCCGCCCCTGTTGTCCATGCAGATCTACTTTATATATGATTATTGCCCAATCATCTGTTCTTTCTGTAAGTCCATACAGAAATCTACAATTTATATATGATCATTGCTTAATAATCAATTCTGTTCAGTTGATTTGTCCATGCAAACCTACTGTGTATATATATATATATATATATATATATATATATATATATATGATCAATGCTTAAAGATCAGGTCTGTTCAGTTAATTTGTCCATGCAAACCTACTGTATATATGTATATATGATCATTGCTTATTAATCAGTTCACTTCGTTAGCCCATGCAGATCTACTACATATGATCATTGCTCAATGATCAGTTCTCTCTGTTATAAAGATCTACTATATACATATGATCATTGCTCAATGATCAGTTCTCTCTGTTTATTCATACAGATCTACTATATATATATACATATGATCATTGCTCAATGATCAATTCTCTTTGTTTATCCATGCAGATCAACTATATATATATGATCATTGCTCAATGATCAGTTCTCTCTGTTTATCCATGCAGATCTAGTATATATTTATATATATATATATATGATCATTGCTTGATGATCAGTTCTCTCTGTTTATCCATGCAGATCTAGTATATATACATATAAATATATGATCATTGCACAATGATCAGTTCTCTTTGTTTATCCATGGAGATCAACTATATATATGATCATTGCTCAATGATCAGTTCTCTTTGTTTATCCATGCAGATCAACTATATATATATATATATATGGTCATTGCTCAATGATCAGTTCTTTCTCTTTATCCATGCAGATCAACTATACATATATGATCATTGCTTGATGATCAGTTCTCTCTGTTCATCCATGCAGATCTACTACATATATTATCATTATCATTATCAGCAGTTCTTAACCTCACTGAATTCGACAAATACAAAAAACAAACTTTGAATATTTGTTAATGAAACTATTAATCAAACATTTGACAAATCATTTCTCCTAACTAGTCCAACCTTAAAAATCAATTAAACAAGTTCCTAGGAATCTGGACCTTTCACAGTTTTTGCAGTTTCTAACTCTGCATTCAGTCAGTATAGCAGGAATACTTTAAAGGTTAGTTCGACTGTCATTAAGATAATGATAATAAAAATACACGTAATTTAGTAAAATCTTTTTGTCTCTTAAAATCATTATTTCAGGCACTTTTCGATTCTAAAACAGAGTTAAGGAAAAAAATCAAAATTACTAAAGATTATTTAATGTGAACTCAAATTTATCACAATTTACATAAATAGTAAAATACAAAAGATCCTCTCAGTGTGGGGGGCGGGGGGGGGGGGGTTTCAGATGAATTAGTTTTGATTTAAGACGAGTTCTGTTGAGACATGTATCCCGGCAACGTATATCCAGTCTATCAATACCTAGTGGTGTATCTCAAATAGATATGGCGGACAGAAAGAAGGTTAGTAAACATCAAAGATCTCTAGTGGAATATCTCAAATAGATATGGCAGACAGAAAGAAGGTTAGTAAACATCAAATATCTCTAGTGGTGTATCTCAAATAAATATGGAGGACAGAAAGAAGGTTAGTAAACATTAAATATCTCTAGTGGAATATCTCAAATAGATATGGCGGACAGAAAGAAGGTTAGTAAACATCAAATATCTCTAGTGGTGTATCTCAAATAGATATGGCAGACAGAAAGAAGGTTAGTAAACATCAAATATCTCTAGTGGAATATCTCAAATAAATATGGCAGACAGAAAGAAGGTTAGTAAACATCAAATATCTCTAGTGGTGTATCTCAAATAGATATGGCAGACAGAAAGAAGGTTAGTAAACATCAAATATCTCTAGTGGAATATCTCAAATAAATATGGCAGACAGAAAGAAGGTTAGTAAACATCAAATATCTCGAGTGGAATATCTCAAATAGATATGACGGACAGAAAGAAGGTTAGTAAACACCAAATATCTCTAGTGGAATATCCTAAATAGATATGGCGGACAGAAAGAAGGTTAGTTCATATCAAATATCTCTGGTGGAATATATCAAATAGAAATGACGGACAGAAAGAAAGTTAGTAAACATCAAATATCTCTAGTGGAATATCTCAAATAGATATGGCGGACAGAAAGAAGGTTAGTTCATATCAAATATCCCTAGTGGAATATCTCAAATAGATATGGCGGACAGAAAGAAGGTCAGTTCATATCAAATATCTCTAGTGTAATATCTCAAATAGATATGGCGGACAGAAAGAAGGTTAGTAGACATCAAATATCTCTAGTGGAATATCTCAAATAGATATGGCGGACAGAAATAAGGTCAGTTCATATCAAATATCTCTAGTGGAATATCTCAAATAGATATGGCGGACAGAAAGAAGGTAAGTTTATATCAAATATCTCTAGTGGAATATCTCAAATAGATATGGTGGACATAAAGAATATTGGTAAACATCAAATATCGTGTGGGTTGTCTCAAATGTGTTCATTTGGAAAATGTTTGTTAACTTTCGGAAATTACCTGACATCTTAAACGAACCTAGAAATCACATTTTAAGAGATCAAACAGCCCACAATGAGCGTTGTACAAAATACAACGTACTTAAGACAATTTCTCAAATTATCAGTTCACCTTAAAAATCTAACAGTTAATATATCTAGGTAACTATAGGATCCCTGGGAGGTAGAATAGCCCTGTATTCTTGTAACGGTGCAGCACAGGTTGTGGAAATGGATCATTTTACATCAAACGGAATAATTCATATTGTGGACGATATATTGTAACTAAACAACGTATAACATTGCATAGATATATTTACTTTTGTTTACATTTTAATAAATCTATGAAGCTAAAATTTAACTGAGTTTTCTCCCTTCCCTATCAAGCTAGTAGAACTATGGTTGCTCCAGTATCAAAGTTACTCTTGGAACTTTGCAGTCCTCAAGTCGGGTAGAGAAACCTCGTGCGTTCTAAATATTAGAAGATTTAATGAGGGTAGAGCTCATGGAAACTAATGCTACATAGTGTGCCAATAACATGGGAAAATAGTAACGAATGCGATCTCGTCATTCTAAAGAATTAGTATTGTTTTACCCAAATCAATGGTCATGATGGTATATTTCATGTCAACGGTAAAATACTGTTTTGTTTTTCTGAATAATATGTCTTCAACATTCTTGCAAAATGAAGAGTGAAGAGGAACAACTGTACGTTGTTTGTGTACGAGATTTTATCCTTTTACAAAATACAACAGAATGCAATCAAAACATAAACAAACAAATTCTTAACTCTAGCAGTTGTTGTATCTCTCGAATGTCAAATTTTTATTAGCACATAATAAACAAAAAGTTTTTTTCGACTAAGAATAGTTCAAGTCTGGGTTAATTTTACAAGCATCTCTAAGTTCAAATAATACTTACTTTCTCAAATGCTTCTTTAAATTGTCAATTCTTGAAAATAGAGTATCACAATAGTTACACTGAACACAAACATTTATGTCATAACAAAATCTATCTTTGTTAATTCTAAAACTATTTTCTCAAATTGAATTTTTCATACAAGTTTATCGTTGAATTCTAAAATTATAAATAGTAAGTAAAGTAAAAAATTATTTATTTATGAAATATAACAAAAACATACAAAAAAATGTGTTTCAGGAGAAAATATTTAAAAACCTCTAAAAGTAGAGGTTGTGGGAATATTTCCCCCCAATTCTAAAAAATATAAAAATAGAAATAATAGGAAAAGGAAAGGAAAGGATAAGGAAAGTTACAGATTTATTGTTTACACTATATTTTATTTTTCGATTCTATCAAGAAATATTTTCAGTTCCTCAAATTTTGATGGTAAACTTTGAATGTTTAAACTAAGGACATTTAATCCGCTAAAATTTCTAATGTTTGATACAAAATTGTTTTCACTTTGGTATGTATTTCTAAGCTCAATGTTTGAAAATAAATCGGGACCCATATTTGTTTGTTCTAGATAATCATTGTAATTAAGAGTATATTGCTCGTTTTTATTAAGGGAACCTATATAATTTTTCACATCTTCAAGATCATCGTGGTCGTGTTTTATTCAATTTAGAAATGATAAAATTGTAATATCTTTGTCGAAATATGCATGTAATCCACCAAAAAGGGTTGAAAGGAGATAGGATAGGAAGAGGATGGAATTGTGTAAGCGATGGGAAAAAACTGTGTGGCATATTGATAAACATGCTCAAATAGAAATGGGGTTCGTTAGAAAAAAAAACAATTAATCTTTGGCTTGGAAAGAAATCAGAAGAGAAATTGAAAAAAGTACATAGTATCTCAAGTTTACATATTTAAGCAAACCGTGCGAAAAGAGGCAATACTTAGGATTAGTGCAAAGTTTTCAATTTAAGAACTTAATTTCAGTAAAACATTTACCAGTTTTAATTTAATAGTTGAAATTTAATATTTCCGAAATAGAGAGTTCATGATTTTTGTGTTCTTGCTTTCTGGATCACTGGCGTACATAATCTTCCCGTTGAGAGTTGTCCAGACTTTGTGCACCTTCTCCTTCTTCTTTGCTTCAACTCTCAGGGCAGCCAACAATTCAGAATTCCTTCTAGTAAGATCACCGTTGATTTGGATAGTTCCTCTCTGGTTGATTTTTTCATTGGACAGTCGGTAATCTTTTGGAATAAACCACTTGTGCTTAGCAGCATCCAGAGGGTTTAAAGCAGGGTAGCTGAACTTGATAACCTTGGCTCGAATGGGTCTTGATAGAAAGCGTAGGATAATGAGTGGTGGACCTGTTTGACTACGTCTTGAACCAGCTGGAGGTGAACGTGATGGAAGGACATGACCATGTTCAATAACTTTATCGTATTCTGGTACTTGGCTTATTTCCCCTTTCAGCTTAGCAAATTCAAGAGTTGGTTGGATTGCTTGAGTATAAACGTATTTCAGGAATTCTTCATCTTTGTATTCCTTTGGTACATGTAACCCCTTGATACGGATACTGAAATTCCTCTGATGTTGCTGCGTATCGTTAATCTCGTCTATTAATTCTTTGATTTTGTTATCCTTCTCTGTGTTCTGTGTTTCAAGAGCTTGAGTTCGATCCATGAGTGATTTAATCTCATCCTTGTTTTCTTTCGCAATAGCATCTAGATCTTCAATAGATTTTTGAATACTCCGGATTTCTCCCAAGATATGATTTTTAAACTCTCTCATTGCATCTTTGATTTCTTCTTTAATTGTAATCTTTAGTTCATCCTTGAGGCTGGTAACTATTTGGTCTTTTATAGTAATCTTTAGTTCATCCTTGAGGCTTGAAACTATTTGGTCTTTTAGTTTACTCAAATCAGCTTTTGAGATAGCCATCTTGAAAGGTCGAAGATTCCTTCACTGATAGAAATAAAGTAGATTCCCTCACTGTAAACAGCTGTTTTATGTAAACAGATGTCCGTTGGGAGTAGAGGGGGGGGGGGCAGGCCTACTTGCTTGTCCTGGTCCCCTGCCTAGAATTAACTAAAAACGTTTTTGCAAATTGATATATTCACAAAACTACACTTTTATAGCTTGATTTTTGGAATCTTTCTGGCTTCAATGTTGTTGATAATGTTTTAAAGTTTATGTTTTCTCATTTTTCTCACCAAACACTAATTATGTCATTAGAAACCCATTCACGTGTGAGAGAGATTATCTGTATACGTGCATCCTAATGCCTATATACCGGAAATGCCCAACCACCCTTTTGAGGAAATATTTTTTTAACGCGACAAAATTAGGGAAATATCCTCTACACCTTTTTTAATCCTTAACCAAAGCTAGTTCTAAAAATACCAAATAAAAAAATATAACATTAAAATGTTCCTGATAATGTTTGAGACCATCATGTGCCTCTATGTGTCTTTTCAGCTTAAACGCGGAAACAAAACATCTGCCGCACTCGTCACAGCCATATTTTCTCTCTAGATGAATCTTTAAATGCTTCTTGAGCAGTCCTGATGTATGGAATCCTTTCTTGCAAACATCACACTGTATTCAGAAATAAATAAAAATTTAATAATCTTTATTGTTTCACTGCATTAAAGGGACTATACGCGTAATTTCAAGTGACCCTCAAGACAAAGAGGCCAATGCCCAATTTACAACGGTATTCTTTAAACCTTTGACTGAGCAAAGAGAGCTCTGTGTTTAAATCTCTTAACACTACTTGATATCATGTAAAGTCCATTTAACAAAGAGTAAAGTCAATAGATGATAATTATTTCTAAATTTCCTGAAAATCCCGGGCTTCTCCGTGAGTCTTCTTGTGATTATTTAAATCAATCATTCTTGTATATCCTCGTTCACATACATCACAGGTTAAGCGTTTCTCAGAATGAAGTTTCATATGTTGGATTAAATTTTCTTTGGTAAAAAGCTTTCCACAATGCTGGCAGGGTTTTTGTATCATTTCATGCTAAAACACATAATTAAACTAAATATATTCCGAATTGCTTAGGTGTGGTATTTTTATGAACCCTTACCTTGCTCTCTCTGTGTCGTTTTAGTGTATAATTATTCTTGAACGTGTTTCCACATATATCACATTTATTTTTATGATGCTCAACTGTTGAGGTATCTAAAAAAATGTTATCAATCCAAGATTGCTGGAGCTAATTATGCAAAATATTGAGGTAATTAAAAGTTTGATGAAGGTCTACCTGGTACACCGGCTGACTGGCTGTGAACAGAATTATGTAGAATGTCTTGAACCACGTGATCAGAAAAATCAGCCTGCTCTGCTGGGCCAGGAGGAGTGGAAGGACCAGCGTATTTGGAAGAAAGATCTTGTTCAGAATAAACATGCTCGGAATGCATAGAAGTACTAGTATGCCTGGAGGGACCAGCATACCCAGAAGATCCAGGGGCGGAAAAAGATCCGGGGGCGGAATAAGTAGGAATTCCATCTTCGAGGAAAATTTCCCCTTTAAAAACTTCTTCATCAATGACCTAACAAAAGACAAAGTATCTTGAAATTTTTAAATTTCGGATAAAATAACAATGGACAAGTGTATAATGTATATATAGTATATACGCATTACGCATGCTGTACAAAATAAGAAACTCTACAATGTTTAAATTTTGAAGTTTCTTAGATCATATTAGATCGTTTATATTTTAGATCATATTAGATCGTTTATATTTTAGATCATATTAGATCGTTTATATTTTAGATCATATTAGATCTCATATTAGATCGTTTATATTTTAGATCATATTAGATCGTTTATATTTTAGATCATATTAGATCGTTTATATTTTAGATCATATTAGATCGTTTACAGCTCTAAATTGAGGTTTAAGAGGCTGATCTGAAAATTTTAATAAAATGAAACACATAAAAAAATTTACCCTCTCCACAGCTGAGACTGACAAAGATTGCAAGTAGACCATACGGTTCGTTTCCGCAACCTTACAAACAACATCATTTTTTTAAATAGCCAATTAGTTCAAAATTCTAGATACACTGAAATGAAAATAACAAAACTTTTAACAAATCGATTTAGTAAAACAAAAAAAGGAGCAGATAAATTCATTAAAACAATACATTTCTTAAAAACATTTAAATTGATTGTAATTTTTGAATTGCTTAATAGCAGATTACAACAATTGGTTTATTGAAACAGAGAGACAAGGCATCGAATAAATATCAAATATGGTAAAAATTAAATAAATTTGTTAATTTTCCTGGATCTTTTGCTCCATTTCCAGGTTGACACTCTCAAAGAAAATGCGGATACGATTATGAACATCCTAAAATAAAACATTAACTGATATCAGCGTGTACAGAAGACCAAGGTTACAAAAAGGTAACACAGATTGACTCAAATAACATTATATTTAGTATCGGCCTTAAGCATTTTACCACTTTCAAGTTTCATCTTCAAACATCTTCAAATACGATAACAAGAAAATGAGTTAGGACAAGTGACTTTTGGCATAATATTTGTAATGTAAGTACCGTGTTGGTAACTTGGTAACAAACATATTCCATACCTAGCTGAAAATATAAACAACAGAAACAAGAAAAATCCTCGAAATTCTAGCATTTTCAAAAATACCTGAATAGAAACTTCAGGGAGAAGAATTAAATCGTCAGTCTGAAAAAAAATGATTTTATCTAATTAAAGCTAGATCGTAAGAGGGTAATAAAATATATATATTTTTAACAGAAATATTTTTTAATCTTTAAGTTTTAAATCGCACTGTGTTTGAACATCTTAAATAACCATTTGCTTCTTGTTTGATCAGCCGTCCTTGCTTAACATATTTTGTCTTTATTGGCAATGGCAAGCTTTACTTCAACGGCAAATTTGTTTTTAACTGCCTGATTATGTCTATCTTTTTTGTTTGCCTTTTCGGCAATTTTGTCTATATCGGCAATATTGTCGAAGTCGGCCATTTTGTTTATGTCGCAATATCGTCTGTAACGGCCATTTTGTTATGTTGCTCATATTATCTGTGTCGGCCATATTGTCCATGTTGGCCATTTTCTCTACGTCGGCTATATTGTTTATTTCGCTCACATTGTAGCTCTGTTAGCCATTTTGTCTGCGTCGACCATTTTGTTTATGTCGCTCATATTTTGAGTCGGCCATTTTGTCATGTCGCCATATTGTATGTTTCGGCCATTTTGATCAATCTAACCTGTGATTCTACTCCTGATAGTTCTGGAAGTATGAGGAAAACTATAAGTTTGTTCAGGGCCAGCACTCCATCTACAGATTTAGAGTTGACTTTTTTAAGCATTTCATGTAATTTCTTTTATTTTTTATTTTGAATATTGGATACCTGGGCAGACGAGCTGAATGTTTTCATATTTTTCATTTCTAATTCAAGACTTTGAATTTATAGATTAAGAATAAAATAAAAAAAATAAATTCAAAAATTTTAAAAACTAAAAAAAAGGTTAAAAAAAATTCAAACAATTTATTTCTTTGCTTTTAATACAGTCCTGATCAGAAAGACCCGGAATTATTTTTTAATTATTCAGACAACTTAACCCTATTCCCGCTGGGGGGGGGTCAATTTGACCCCCCCCTGTAGTTTTTTTTACATAACTCAAAAAGTATTGGTCTGAGGCTTAAAAAACTAACATTTTGATGTCCAAATTCCCCCCCCCCCCCCAGCGTATCCTGGTTTTCAAGTACCCCAGCGGGGATAGGGTTAACAATCTAATGTTACAAATATGATGAATAAACGATCAATAACAAAATAGCAAGAGTTCTGCCAATTCCAAAATGTGGTCTGCCTTGATTGTGCGTTTGAAATTACCAGAGATAGATATGTAAAGTCGTCTGATTAACTGTCAATTAATTCCAGGTTTTTCTGGTTATGACTGTAGTATGTGCACAACATTTTTAAACAATTTTAGATAAATTCATTCCTGCAATTCTTGGCAATTTCCCTAAAAACAAAAGAAAAATGTAAACAATCAGAAAGAAATCGGCCTAGATTAAGGTGCATTATTCAAAACGAACACACTAGGAAAAATGCAAGATACTACTTACTAAAGGCCAATTTAGAGCTTAAAATATAAATTAGGTCTTTTGGAAAGCTGTTTAATAACAAATTCTTTAATAGCAGTTTATGGGAGGGAATCGAAAAATCTTTGTACGAGTTAATTGAATTTTGTCGAGCAACTTAAACTTTGAAGAACACAGACAACTTAAAAGATTTTTACTTTCTTATCAGTTATACAATCCTATATTTAAAAATGTTTGTAAAATATAAGTATTTTTTACCTTATAAGTTCTCTATTTTTATACAACGTATCTAAATCCATTCTTTCTGTAAATAATGTAAATTTATAAACAACCCAATCAATAACGCAATAATGCAATCTTTTAGTTTCTTTGAACATCTATCTTGAATTCTAAGTACAAACTTTTAAAAAAATCAATCAGTAATCACAGATTGTATATTGTATAAAGGCAACAGTTAGATTAGGACGAAATAAAAGGTTTATTAATCAGAACAGGAAAGACAGATATAGGAAATCACGTGATCAGTTATGGAAGTATCTCAGCTGGTAGGTAGGTAGGTAGGTAGGTAGGTAGGTAGGTAGGTAGGTAGGTAGGTAGGTAGGTAGGTAGGTAGGTAGGTAGGTAGGTAGGTAGGTAGGTAGGTAGGTAGGTAGGTAGGTAGGTAGGTAGGTAGGTAGGTAGGTANGTATAAAAGTATATCTGCTGGTATGTAGGTAGGTAGGTGTACTACTCCTGTGACCAAGTATAAAAGTATATCTGCTGGTATGTAGGTAGGTAGGTATACTACTCCTGTGACCAGGTATAAAAGTATATCTGCTGGTATGTAGGTAGGTGTACTACTCCTGTGACCAAGTATAAAAGTATATCTGCTGGTATGTAGGTATGTATGATATAATACTGGATACTAAGGATCCTCCAATGGGAAGATGTTTCTCTAGAGTGGAGAGGAAAACTAGCAGGATTCTCTAAACATAATAATTATAATTAATCAGAGTAAATTGATCACACGATAATACTATACATACATATATGAGAAGAGTTCAGAACACAATACAAACTGTACAGCATACTGCAGCATCAGACATACATATATACAACACATCCAGTTTGATATAAATAGAGCTTGGAAACCCAGCTTCGTATGGAATCAAAATTTTCCCGATGGAAGTCCACTTTTAAACCAAAGTAAGAACACTAATCCCTAATCATTAAAGGCAAATCGAGTTATAATCGGAAATACAAACAGATCACAAACATCGTTTACTACTTTATATATATATATAGATAGAGACTCCTGAATTGTTAAGCTTACTTTTGATTGTTGATCGTAGAACGGAGATCTGAGTATATAACTGAACAAGTTAAAGGCCCGGCGCAACAACTCTTTTTCTTGTTCGGCGTTTAGGTCACTTTCACGATATATGCCTAAACCACAAAGATATGTTAAACTTTAAATTACTTAAAGGGACTGTAAGCGTAATTACAAGTGACTCTTCCTACAAATATGACAATGCCCGATTCACAACGGTACCCTTAAAACCTTCATTGGAATAATCATAGGGAATATATTGTCGTTTTTATATATTTAAAAGTGTTTAATTCTGATATTTCATATATGTTTTCCTGCAGTGGAAATGCGCAAGTCACTTTAACTAGAAAACCACAATTGAAAATAATTAGTTCACAGAATTATTAACATTTTCAAGGTACTCAAGGTACACCAGCACAAAGTTGAAAAAATTATCTTGATCCTACCTTGGCTTGCACAGTCCATGGAAAGGGAAAGAAGGAAAGGAGTCCATGATTTTGACCCAAATAACCCGAAAGCCTAGGAAGTCAAAATATAACATTTATTATTATTATTACATTATAACACACAGGGATGTATAATGTACATTTCCTTGAAAATCATTTTACCCGAGAGGTGAGGTATGTTTGAGCACTGAGCAGAGCAGCAAATTTTTCTAGGTTTTTATTTTGAATTGGGAAAAAAATTTGACTTTTAGGGGTAAAATAAATATAAAAAACTAACATTTTGATGTCCAAATTCCCCCCCCCCCACATTCGTCAAAAATCATTTATGTAAGATCTAGAGATCTTTATATGACTATTGTTCAGGTTGATTCACGAAGCACGAGACTCTACAAGTGTTCCTACAGAAGTACTCAAGATCCTAATATTCTAATCTACAAATATTTATTCTACATATATGAGTTTTATCCTGTAAAACTATATTTATTGGACTTTTTAACTTGAGAACTAGAACTTTATATCATTTGCCAAGCCTTATAACAAAGCCCAGCCTATAAACCTATTTAATGGCCCTTATGTTTCAGAACATAACGGGATAGATTCTATTTTATTAAACGAATATCCTATTAGCTCCAGGTTGTGCACTCAAGGTTTACTAAACATCTAAATAATTGTTTTATGATTTTCAACGAACATTAATCAATCGATGTTTATAAAAGTGAACCCAGTTAATAATCTCGTGTTACCACCTGTTCTACCTGAACTCTGAACTGTAAATATAAACACTAAACAGGTGATCAATTGAGAAACTCCAGTTAAGCTGACTTGGAATTTCAACTAACTCTCGGTTTATCTTTAGATAACCCTGCTGATCAACTCCCTATCCTCGAACCTGGTTTCTCCCCCAGGACGGATTGATTTGGTCCTCTGATCTGAGTTATCACTCTGGTCTTCATCTTACCACAAGCCTGCCGTAGCTGCGATCTCTCCGCCGTAGCTGCGATCTCTCCACTGTAGCTGCAATCTCTCCGCCGTAGCTGCCATCTCCCTGCTGCTGCTGCTATCTCTCCTTGGATGAAGTAGAACTACACTTCTCTCTAAACCCAACAGCTTGAAGATAAAGCTGAAATATAAAAGGTGAAGATTAACAGATTGAAACTAGTTACTCAAAAGATTTAATAAACTAATTTAATCTCGTTTAGATATCTCCTCTATCAGCCCTGAGTGCGAGATCGACTTCTCTAATCTCTAAGATGATCTCAACTGTACCTTCTATTCCCCAGTCTCTGTGTCGGGATAACAATAGGTACATATTAGTTTCTTGTGATCAGTGTGAACTACTTTTTTGAGTTATGAACAATTGAAAACACATATTGAAATTTAAAGACTATATCTTTTAAATGAACTCACCGTGATATTTTTAGTTGTGTACGAGATATGTTGGCTAAGATCTAAAGAGCTATTAACCTCCGGCCTAATCAACTTTGTAAGTGCATTTTTAAATCACATTAATATTTTATGAAATATTCACATTACACACCTGGAGCAAATTTTATTGGCAACTTTACAAGTTCATTATTTTACGATTCATTTAATATTCATAATATAAATATTCTAAACGTGACTGATTTTGTGTTTTTCAGTTTCACGCTTAGAGCTCTTGTTTTTGTTCCCTATAGACTAAATAAATAAGATTAAACAAGACTCTAGAGTAAAAACGAGGTGCGCTGGTGAAAGATGTATGCACATCTTAATGTTAATAGTATGAATACCTTTGGATCTAAGGTATTGGTATTCTTGGTTCTATTCCCTCGTAGTAAAATTAGGAAAATCAGTGTATTTTCGGGTGAAAAGTATCTAAAAGGGTGACAAACTTGCCATATGGGTGTCTGTTATTTCGTTTGCTTTCAAACCTTGAGGGGGGGGGGCCTTCAAAATATCTACCCCATATATTACCAGAAGATGTGTTACAGGTTGAGCCACATGAATAAGTTCTGCTGCTAACTGATGTTTGGTTAGAGTAGGTTTAGTAGGACAGGGAGGTCTCCAGCTTCTTCTATATCTTCCAGGAGCTAAATATATATATATCAGTTGTTGATAGAGCAGTGGCTAGCGTGTTTGATTCGTAATCTAAGGATTCACGGTTCAAGCCCCGCCAACTGCAAAATCAAAAACTGATGAATTGAGCCATACTGATGAGTCCTAATCTGGGGGCGGAAGCGTCATGTATGTGTGTCTGTACCAAAAGAGTGTGTGTAAGTGATAACGAACCGAAGGCGTGTACTGTAAGTATATATACAGTGCATAAGAATCTCGGTATTTATACAGTCTAAGAGAGTACATTTGTTTATTGATAATTGTTTACTTAAAAATAAATTTAATATACATGTAATATATTATTTATATATTTAAGTCAACACTATAAGCCAAATTTTCAATTTTCATTCAAAGAATATAATTTGATTAAAGTTTACAATAAACTACTCGTTAATCAAGCTTAATTATAATTTACGACATTGTTCTGCAACTTCCTTGACTGCAGTCATATTGTGTGTCTGTACCAAAAGAGTGTGCGTGTGTAATAACGAACTCGTCTGCAAAGCAGTGCGACTGGCTTTCTCATGCCAGACCAGCGCCATTTCCCTTCCCTTTCCGATACTTCTAATAATTCGTCCTGACTTCAACACAAAATAATTCTCCTTCTGATCAACCTGAAATTACAATAAGGCAATCTTATTGCAGATGTTTCTTTTTTCGACTTGTATGCAGGGGTTGTTGTTGTTGTTGTTAAGAGTACACTTCAAGTAACCTTTCAACCCAGACATGACTTTTATCATTAAGCTGGGAAGGCGCTGATGGGCGTGAAGTCAAATCCCATGCGTGGATTCACAACAATATTGTTAAAATATTAAAGGAAATGTCGTCCTACTTCAATCTTAACTACCTGGCCATCCGGTGTATACCAAACATTCACTGTATGGGTTTAAGCATTGCCGACATGTGGACATTCACTCATTATTAAACAGAACAGTGAACTGCATAGTTAGTTAAATATGTTAAATTATTTGATTTTGATTATAACCTACAATATTTCAAAATTATGTAAACCATCATTCACACTGGACTACATGTCCAGAAACCTCTACTATTATGGCTTTTTTTCGGCTTATGCAAACAAGTTAATTATTTTTGATGTAAAATTCAAAATGCAATTCAAAAACTAATTTGAATTGCTTTTAAGTTAATGCCACTTTATCGGAATAAAATAATAAGAAAATTCCTTCATTGTCATTTGTTGTATCAATGCAGTTTTAATAAACTTCTTCATATTCAATTATTTTTCTTTTATCCTTACTATGTAATTTATTGCAGGTTTTAACTTTTCGACATCGATGTTAAAATTTACTGAGTAAAGTCCTGTGCTAAAGTGTGATGTTTTATTTCAACAAATATCCATTTTCTTGTCAATTATGGGGAAAATAACGTAATATTTTTGCTTAAATACTCTTCAACTCTTATCATTCCTACATTATTTTCTGCAGCAGAAATTTGCTAAGAATCCGCTGCTGAAAAAAATATTTTTTCCAAATTGTAAACATATTATGTTATTCATTTAAGATAAGATTTAAAGGTACCGTTGTGAGTCGGACATATCATTTTATTTTGTTTTAATGAAGGTTTACTTGAAATTACGCCTACAGACCTTTTCACTGTTCAGTGTAGACTACTAGTCATTCGTGTTTAGTATAAATATTACACATGATGTACTGCAGTACCTGTACTGATGGTACATATTCTGGATTTAGTGAAACCAACATCTTTCTTCTTCTGTACAACAGAACTAGTCTTAATGCGGTCTTCACAACCTGTGGAAAATATTGTTATAGAAAGAAATTATTTATCGGTACCCTCTCATCCTACCTAGACCGAGGCGTTTTAGGGGGGGGGGCTTTGAGGGCTTAGCCCCCCCCCTGGATCAGTGAAATCTATGGTTTCCAGTTTTTTTTGGGCCCCAAAAAGAAAGAAAGTTTAAGCCCCCCCCCCCTTGGGACAGAATCCTGAATACACTCCTAAACCTAGGGAAAACTGATCTGAGTGTTTTCTGGTCTAAAATTGTATCATATCTTTTCTTTAGCTGTGGTTAAGAGTTTTGATGGGGATTAGGGATTTTAATTCGCAAATCTGCTCGATATTTTTTTTAAAACTACTTAATAATTAGGTCAGAATCCCTTTAGGTTGGTTTCCTGCCGGTCAGTTTTCAAAACATCAAATTATCTGTAGATCTAACTTTCAACTTTTCAGAAAGGAGAACTTGTGAAACAAGTAATAAATCCAAAAATATTTTTCATTTTTATTTCCAACAATGATTCCCTGTTAAAATAAGATGAATAAAAAAGTCGAACTAATTTGTGAACAAATATTTTTAATTTCGTTTGAAATCTAGATCGTTAACGAATGGAAAAAAACCGTTTTCTCAACTGGTTCACTTATTAGTAAAAAAGAACGGTCTGTTTATTCAGTTAATTTAACTAATCACTAATGGACTGAATACATGCCCAGTCCTACCTGTAAAGAGAATATGAGGGCCCATCTAGCGGCAGGACCACCGAGCCGAAGTGCAGCTATCTCAAGAAAAACTTCCACACAGTGCAAAACCCGCAAGACCTCCTCTACTTGACTAAGAAAGAAATATTCTGAACACATAGATCTCAGTTTGAACATGATTTGCATAGGCCTAATATTTAAATCATTCAAGTATAAAAATTTTCCATTTTATTTACCTGAACCCCTCTGCAGTAATAACAACGTCTTTGTGAATTATCCTTTTTGATACAAGATTATCATCTCATAAATTAACAAGATCATAGAATAAATTAAATGATATTTATTCACAAAATCTAAGCTTTTAACAACGAACTTTACAATTCGAGTTTCTTTCTGGTTTTAGTTTAATCAAAATATTTGACTCCAAAAAAGATTAAGGATTAGCCACAAATGCAATCCTGCAATATAGATAAAACGTAAGATGATATAGGACAATCTTCAGGGTTGATTTCACGTGCAGACAAGCCCATATTCTTATAGAATCCAGAAATATTCTAAATGACTTTAGGCCTTTAAACAAAATGGCTGACGGCTGTTACGATTTTGTAACCTCGAAGCTCTTCAAGTTGAAATTCATCGCTTAAGCAAATTTATTTGGTTCCATAATAGTAGTTGATAGAAATATTGTTCTTCTCAACAAAATGAGTATTTATGATTAAAAACAAGATTTTAGTCAAACGTAATGCATCTATTTATATAAAGTAGTAATCTTTGTTTATATGTCCGATAATAAACTTCTTGGCCGATTTTAAATTTCGTTGGGGAACTCGGGAGAACCACGGGAATATTCTTAGCTTGGTTATGAGATCCTAAGTTAAGTGGATCGAATTTAATAGCAAAAATTTAGTTTCCCGGTAAAATCAACCCAAATGCGGGTAAACGGTGGAAGTAACTATGAGTAACCTGGGCAACGCTGGGTTCCCAAACTAGTGTAAGATAAAATATAAGATGATATAATCTGTGTATTCCTGTTGTTAATCAAGCTGACCAGCTGCGCTGCAGAAAATACAAACTCAGACAATAACACACTTTCCTTAATAATTGCAATCTAATGACTGCAATCTGTATTCTGTAATGTTATTTTTGCTATACTGCAATCTAATGACTGCAATCTGTATTCTGTAATGTTATTTTTGCTATAATGCAATCTAATGACTGCAATCTGTATTCTGAAATGTTATTTTTGCTATACTGCAATCTAATGACTGCAATCTGTATTCTGTTATGTTATTTTTGCTATACTGCAATCTAATGACTGCAATCTGTATTCTGATATGTTATTTTTGCAATACTGCAATCTAATGACTGCAACCTGTATTCTGTAATGTTATTTTTGCTATACTGCAAACTAATGACTGCAATCTGTATTCTGTAATGTCAGTACCATGTTTATTGATGAATTTAAAAAACTAAAACGAATCTAAAAATACAAACGACACCTAGTTTGCCTAAATAAACATTTACCTTTATATATCCAGTAAGAATGTAGCTGAGGCCTCGTAAAAAAGTCTGATAAATAATACAAACTAAAAACCCCATTTTTCCAAACTCATTTATATCGACTTTTTAAAGAATTTTAAAGAATTATAACAAGAAATAAAATATTTAAAATCTTTCTTCTCCCCGGCCATGAAGATAAAATCTAACTTAAAATTTCTGACATTATCTATCTTAATTATTAGCATTAATAATTAATTTAAATGTGACTTCACTGCATAAATAGTGTCGTTTTTATAAACATATTGTATTATTCAGGTATTTTTTTGGCTTCCAAGCAAATCTGATAAGTTATTAAATATTTTAAGTTGTATGTTTAAAAGTTTGATTATTCCTCGAATCAACAATCAATAATGTTTTTCAAATAGTGTTTTAACGAACGATAGATTTTTTCTTCGTTCAAATCAAAATCTTTCGTCAAAGTCAAAATCTGGCGTAATGTGATAAAACCAGAGAACAAAATTTTGAAATGAGGAAAACCTCGGTAAAGTCTTATGGTGCTACCGAATTATAAAATTATTATGCATAATAATTGTCAATAACCATTAAAAATAAGTAAAAATAATTAAGGTTTTATGTTGTATTTAATTCCTCAATATCTTTGACCAGGTTGGGATTTGACAGGGCCCAGCATCTATACTTTTCAATATATTCTAGTCCAGGGCCCACGAGTTCCCTCATTTTGGCGTTTACTTTTTTCTAAACCGCCATTTTCTTCATTTTCTGAAATTGTCTAAATTGTCTATTGAACTGAATGAATTTATTGAATTTGTACATCATATGTACAAAGTACAAAGTTTAGTACATAAATAAGGTAAAAATCAAGATTTAAGAAGGAAAACTTTAATTTTTTTGCACATTTTCGTGCAGTTCAAAGATAAAATTTGAACGAATTAAACTAAAAAAGATTATGAACTAATGGGAATTGTTGAAGAATATTTTAACATAAATAAAAAAACAGAACTTGACAGAAAATTCATTTCTTTCTAAGAATGACTAACAAAATATAAATATCTAAAAATTAACACAAAGAGAAAAATTTCCTGAAAATTGTAATAAAATTGATAAAATTTTACAGTCTAAATAATCATCTCAATTATTTATATATATCAAGCTCTTCAGATGATGCTATGTGTTAACGAAGCTCTGTAGAATCAGCCTGAGAATGAGCAACTAATCAATTAATATCGCAAAAATTTTAAATGACATTTCAAAGAGAGATGGAAGGCAACCCTCACCAAGGAATTCCGAGCCGTAAATGACGTCACAAAATGGATATGTGGCAGCACGCTTACCCGTAGAAATTCAACCCGCAACTTTTTTGTTTTCTTAGAAAACCTCGTTTTGTTTGTTTGTTTTTATCCTTTGGGATAACTGATAGCAAATGTATTTTTACGATTAAAAAACAAGAATCCAATCATATTTAGCATCACTAAATAAAATTCGAACACATAGGGATTAAATCAAGCTTTTAAGACATTCACTAATCAAAGTATAAAAACAAATTACCCGAAGTCGGAACTTGAGGTGAAAATAGTTTTGATGTGTAACGCCTGAACTCTACATTAAGAGGCTTAACCTTTCGTGCGGGCCAATGAGAACCCTTAGACTATTATGCTTTCGTGCGGGCCAATGAGAAACCTTAGACCATTATGCTTTCGTGCGGGCCAATGAGAACCCTTGGAACATTATGCTTTCGTGCGGGCCAATGAGAACCCTTAGACTATTATGCTTTCGTGCGGGCCAATGAGAACCCTTAGACCATTATGCTTTCGTGCGGGCCAATGAGAAACCTTAGACCATTATGCTTTCGTGCGGGCCAATGAGAACCCTTAGACCATTATGCTTTCGTGCGGGCCAATGAGAACCCTTAGACCGTTATGCTTTCGTGCGGGCCAATGAGAACCCTTAAACCACTATGCTTTCGTGCGGGCCAATGAGAAACCTTAGACCATTATGCTTTCTACCATACAGAGACTGGACTATATTTGCGTTTTAAGAACAGATTTATCTCCATCTGTTCAACCAAAAGCTACCAACTCAGCTCAAATCATCAGAACAATTCAAGATTATCAATAAATCAACAAAATCATATTATATACTTCATAAATAATCAATTTTCATGGTATTCAAAGCTTTATATTAGTTGTAAAATATTGTGTAATGTGCATGAAAGCATGACAAAAAATCAATCATTGATCAAGCAATAGATCAATTCAATCAATTCAATCAATCAATCAATTAATCAATTCAAGATTAGTTTTCTCCCTATGACTGTCAGCTGCCTCTTGCATTAAGATGGTTCCTCAAGTACTCATAGGATACATTAGTTATACCCCAGGATATAAACGATCTAAATAGGGTACATTAGTTATACCCCAGGATATAAACGATCTAAATAGGATATATTAGTTATACCCCAGGATATAAACGATCTAAATAAGATATATTAGTTACACCCCAGGATAGAAACGATCTAACTAGGATCGATTAGTTATACCCCAGGATATAAACGATCTAAAAAGGATACTAGGATACATTAGTTATACCCCAGAATATAAACGATCTAAATAGGATACATTAGTTATACCCCAGGATATTAACGATCTAAATAGGATATATTAGTTATACCCCAGGATATAAACGATCAAAATAAGATACATTAGTTACACCCCAGGATATAAACGATCTAAATAGGATCGATTAGTTATACCCAGGATATAAACGATCTAAATAGGAATAATAGGATACATTAGTTATACCCTAGAATATAAACGATCTAAATAGGATACATTAGTTATACCCCAGGATATAAACGATCTAAATAGGATATATTAGTTATACCCCAGGATATAAACGATCAAAATAGGATACATTAATTACACACCAGGATATAAACGATCTAAATAGGATACATTAGTTACACCCCAGTATATTAACGATCTTAATAGGATATGTTAGTTGAACTCCAGCATATAAATGATCTAAATAGGATAATTAGTTATACCCCAGGATGAACCCGTGAGATCAGAATATTATGTACCTAAGATCAGGATATTTTGTACCTAAGATCAGGATATTATGAACCTAAGATCAGGATATTATGTACCTAAGATCAGGATATTATGTTCAGGATATTATGTACCTAGTATAGTTGACATGAACACCTCGAAACATCCCCCAGAGTCCACGTTCTCTATACAGAGCTAGGAAAACTTTACTAAAACTCTGAAATTCTCCTCCCAGTGTTTTCTAAATTAAAAATAAAATCATTTGGGTCATATAGTTAAGTTAAGGGTTCGTTAATTTTGTGTATAATGTAAATAAACTATTACTATTAAATTAAGGAATTTGTAAGGAAACAACCCCCAGACATCCACCAGGTGTTGGGGCCACAACTTTCAAAGCCCCCAAAACCGTTCCAAGCAAGTTAAAAAAATAATAAAGGGTGAATTTTTTCTTGGATATATAAAAAATATGAACAAAAACATTAACAAACATGGTTTATCAGTTTACCTGCATATGAGTTTTTGTAGTATTAATAGGAAATGAAATGGTACTGATCAGGGCACCCAGACAAGCCCCTGAGATGAAATCAGCCTAAAACAACAAAACCAGTTTTAATCAAATATTCATTAAATTCATGGTGAACCAATTATGTAGTTTACTTGTTTATTTATTTCCAAAAAGATTGACTTCATAAAAATATAATTGAAGCAAAAAACTTTCAAATATCAACATCTTTATCTGAATTTTATTTGCTTACGATACGAGAGTAAATATTAAATATTCGACCTTCATCTTATGCCTGAATTACATTTAAGTTTCTGTCTTAAAATTCAATTTTTACAATAATAGTTTCTCTTTAAAAGTGACTCTCGGATTTATGCTGCAGCAACGATAAAGGAAAACTCATAAATTAAAACCTTTTCATAGAAGAAGAAGACATGTTCATGATTGTATTTAGACAAGGAATTAAAGATTACCGCTGTGAATAAGATTTGCCATTTTATACATGGAGGGTCAATTAACAAGTTTCCTTAGAAATGACCAATGTATCCAATTGTAGTGATGTGTTGTTACCTACCAGTAAACCTAGGTTTGGATGTTCAGGAACAAATGTTCTCAGTTTATCTCGACAAGAGAAAAATATAACATTACTCGGCCCGTTCCTCATTAATATGGCGGACAGCCTAGGAAATACACAATCAACTCATCAATTAATCAATTCATCAATCAATCAACTCATCAATTAATCAATTCATCAGTCAATCAATTCATCACTCAATCAATTCATCAATCAATTCATCAATCAATCAATTCATCAATCAATCAATTCATCAATCAATCAATTCATCAATCAATCAATTCATCGATCTATCAATTCATCAATTCAGTCATCATAAACATTTACACTACCAATAAACCAATTAATCAATTTAGTTGTCTTTAGTATTTATGATCAATCAATAGATTATCCAAATAATTAATCACTCGGTCATTCAATCAACCAATCAACTAATAAATCAATTAGAAAGTAATAACAATCAACCAATAACATAAGATACTCATCAAGAATGACAAAAAATATTATTAATTCATGTTAATCAACCACTTTTTCCAATAATAATTCAAAAACATTAATTTAAACAATGCTAATGCTTACCCTCGATAATATTCCTTTATCCCAAATACCCGCAAACTGATGAACGATTATTCAAAAAAGTAAAATCTTGTTTGTATATCACGGTCGGACTAATCACATATGGTGTTTTCCTTTTCTGTCTATTTTTTTTTTTACTTTTAAAACTTTGTGACTATTTGTTTTTATAATATTGAATATGTTCCCTATTGAATGCGTGCGGAGTGTTCTTAAACTGTTTCCTAAAAATATGAAATTATCTAAATTAAAGTTTTTCTGACNTTAAAGTGGTTTTAAGAATTTTTATTTTAAAAATCAAGCAGAAATTTTGAAACATGAAATTGGCCGTTAAAAATATATATTAAGTAGTAATCTCTCTGTGTTTGTTTGTCCGATCATAACTCATGAACTCCGGCCTTGGACCTTTACCTTAAACTTTAATTGGGGAACTCGGGAGAACAACATGTTCTTAACATAGTTTTGAGTTGAGCGGGCCGACTTTTATTGGGAAAAAAAATGAAAATCGTAATTTAAGACCAAGTGCGGGTAAACGGCAGGAGTAACTATGAGTAACTAGGTTCCCAAGCTAGTTTTAAAAATATGAAAGAAATCATGAATATTATAGTTAGATGTTACTAGATGTACTAGATCAATAGTGAGAAGTATTTGAACTGGGTAGACTTAAGAGTTCAACCACTTCTCTCTTACGCCGAGTCAAGTTAAAGAGAACTGGTTAACTTAGTTTTCGCAGTTTAACTATGTCTTGCTATTCATTAAATTTGGTCCTTGATCTTTCTAACCTGTACTTATCGTCTAGCATGAGAGTTTGAACACGTTCAAACGGAGTTAGTAAAGCTTCAGTACATCCTGCCAACATCGCGGCTAAAACCTTAATAATAAATCATAAATAAGAACCATCATTTGTAATAATAGCTAACGACAAAATTATTTGACTTCTTCAAGACGACATTTTATTAGTTTAGAAAGAAAAAATGCACGAAATCCAGGGGTGAAAAATTATACAAAATTAAAAAAAGTCTGTAAAATCCAGTAGATATCTACTTTTTCTACTTATCTCTTGTAAGGGCATGAAGGTGAAAACAAACAAAAAACAATATTAAATATACCAAACAAAATCAATCGAAATCTTTTGCGGTTCGTTAGCAAATATTAAGATGGCTGACCCGGAATAAACAAAATGGATGCCAACCAAATACTTATAGTTGCATAATTACCTTGGCGGGTGCAACATTGAACCCCATACCACCCTCTAGCGTTCTCCTTTACACAATAACTTTTCTTACTTTCAATATCGAGATTAAAAATGTTTTGCTCAGAAATTGCTTAATGAATAAAAAAGGATATTATTTCCAAATGCAGATTTTAATTCTCCTAGGTTGGTTTAATCTTTTAATCCGTCAATTTTTGGAGTGGAAAAAATTCTGTTGATTTTTTATAAGTAAGATGAAAATTATCTAGATGTAATTTCCCCGAAAAAAAACTATAATATTGAAGAAAATTAGTTTTAAACGTAAGACAATATACCTGTACTGATCATAGCAACCGAACATTATAGAGTAAGATAAACTCTTCTGTAGAAGAGGAGGAAGGATACCCCGGTACAGAGATAGCATTCCTTCACTACGGATCTGGTTCACAGCCTAGTTTAACAAGAAGCATGCATACAGAAGTTCAGAGGTTTAGAGGAAAAAAAGGTTTAGAGGATATAGAGGCTTAGAGGATACAGAGGTTTAAAGGATGCACAGCTTTAGAGGATACAGAGGTTTAGAGTTTACAAAGTTTAGAGTTTGCAGAGGTTTAGGGGATATAGAGGCTTAGAGGATACAGAGATTTAGAAGATACAGAGGTTTAAGAATACAAAGGTTTAGAGGATACAGAGGTTTAGAGGATACAGAGGTTTAGAGGATAAATAATAATAAATATAATATACATAATGAAGATTAAAACTTTAAATACAGAATTTTAGAGGTTTTAAGGATTCAAAACTACAGTAAGGTTTTTTTGTGTTTCAATTCAAGTTCTAATTCCTTAATTTTGTAAGATGCTAACTTTTTACTTGACAACATTAAAAATATTCACCTCAAGAGCAGATATTCCATGTAATTGTTGCCTGAAAATACAAAAATTAATAAAATGTATAATTAGCATTATCATTATTATTGTTAGCAGACAATAATAGTAGTAATAATATACTCTTATCCTAGATAATATTAACAAATGGGTAAGAGCATAAATATAAATTGATTTGAGGAATTTGAGGATGTGGGGATGATACTTTTCAATACTTTTTACCTCAAAATTCTTTCAATTTTATAGAATAACTTTTGGAGAGGGTAAATATATCAATGAGTTATTAAATATACATATAACTCATGCCAGTCTTAAAATAATTAAATTAAAAACTAAATTAAAAAGATGAAATTGATTCTTGAAAATGAAAAAAATCTTACTCGGTTTATGAAGCTTTCCTTCCGGAACTTTCTGTGCAACATACAGGTCTATTTAATATAATATTGAACATCTTAAAGAAACTAAACAAGAGGTAACGGGAGGTGGGGAGGTAGTTCTATAGAAAAAAAATAAACCTCTTAAAAAGACATGAAAAAATACGTTAGGTTGTAAAAAAAATGTTTTTAGTACAAAATTATAGATATTCGATTCCTGAAATTTTCGGGGACATTTTAAACTAGGTTTTCTCCTCTTCTAATGCGTCGTCCATTCCAAATCTAAACATTACAATATTCCAAATCTAAACATTACAATATTCCAAATCTAAACATTATACAATATTTAAAATCTAAACATTACAATATTCCAAATCTAAACATTATACAATATTTAAAATCTAAACATTACAATTTTCCAAATCTAAACATTACAATATTCCAAATCTAAACAATACAATATTCCAAATCTAAACAAAACAATATTCCAAATCTAAACATTACAATATTCAAAATCTAATCATTAGAATATTCAAAATCTAAACAATACAATATTCAAAATCTAAACATTGCAATATTCAAAATCTAAACAATTTTCAAATCTAAATATTACAATATTCCAAATCTAAACATTACAATATTCCAAATCTAAACATTATACAATATTCCAAATCTAAACATTACAATATTTTAAATCTAAACACTATACAATATTTCAAATCTAAACATTACAATATTCCTAATCTAAACATTACAATATTACAAATGTAAATATTACAATATTCGAAATCTAAACATTACAATATTCCAAATCTAAACATTACAATATTCCAAATCTAAACATTATACAATTTTCCAAATCTGAAACATTACAATATTTCAAATCTTAACATTACAATATTCCAAAAAACATTGTACAATATTCCAAAAAACATTGTACAATATTCCAAAAAACATTGTACAATATTCCAAATCTAAACATTATACAATTTTCCAAATCTGAAACATTTCAATATTTCAAATTTAGAAATTAAAATATTTCAAATCTAAACACTATACAATTTTCCAAATCTGAAACATTACAATATTCCAAATCTAAACATTAGAATATTTCAAATCTAAACATTACAGTATTCCAAATATAAATATTACAATATTCAAAATCTAAACATAAGAATATTCAAAATCTTAACATTTCAATATTCAAAATCTAAACATTAGATTATTCCAAATCTTAAACATTCCAATATTACAAATCTAAACATCACAATTTTCCAAATCTGAAACATTACAATATTCCAAATCTAAACATAAGAATATTCAAAATCTGAAACATTACAATATTCAAAATCTAAACATAAGAATATTCAAAATCTGAAACATTACAATATTCAAAATCTAAACATAAGAATATTCAAAATCTTAACATTTCAATATTCCAAATCTAAACAATAGACTATTCCAAATCTTAAACATTCCAATATTCCAATTATTAACATCACAATTTTCCAAATCTGAACATCACAATTTTCCAAATCTGAAATATTACAATATTCCAAATCTAAACATTACAATATTTCAAATCTAAACTTTAAAAGTAATTTTCGTAGTATTTTTCAATGCCTACTTTTAAACCTTATGAAATTAGGGCATTTAAGAAAATAGCAAGCTAAAACGAATGTGAAGGATCTTTAAAAAAATCCCTTTTACGACTAAATTATCACACCCCTGATATTTCTAGTCGTAAAAACAAGTAGACTACTATAATTCATCACAACCCTGATATTTCTAGTCACGAAAACAGTTAATGAATTCATCACAATCCTGATATTTCTTGTCCTGGAAACAACCGGAATTCCGTAAATGAATTTATCACAATCCTGATATTTCTAGTCCGAAAATGAATTTACAGAATATATTACAAATGAACAACTTAAGGTTGCCAGGGTTGACAGAAAAACTAAAAATTTATTTTGAAATTTGAAATTATTAGATTTGTATAATTTTTTTCTATAGGAAAAATTAACTGCTTGTCACAAAGATGTACGTACAATGTACATATATATCCCTGAAAGACAGAAAGCTGGCGGTCATCCAAACCTATCAGCTGATCGTGTTTATACAGAATGCACTCAAACGTACATCGAGTTTCGACAACGGTAAATCTAGTGTTCGAAATGCGAGCACAGGTGTCAAGCACGACGTTTGTTAGACGAACGGAGGAAGAGGAAGGCAGGCGGCCATGAGCCACCACTGTTTCCCCTTCCGTGCCACATTTCAGCTTGTGTCTCTTCCGGTAGCCATGAACCCCCTTATTTCCTCTTCCGGGCCACCACATTTGACTCTTCCGGGCAAAACTACTTTTTAAAGTTTTAATTTTAAATATTCCAATTTATATAAAACACTGAAAATGTGCCGTGTATCAACTAGCTTTAAAACAACATAAAGTACACAAAAGCAAATGTGCTAAAAAAAAATCTTACCATAAATAGAAAAAGAAATTTATATAAATGTTACTAATTACCTAAGCGAATACAGCTTTAATACAGCTTTTATCCAGCCAGTTTCATTTTATCTGAAAAAGGTATAAAACTATCAATTTCGGATAAAAATATAAACATTTTGTATATACAATATAATATGTGAATAATTCATGAACGATTGAAAACGATTTTTTATGTTTATTTATCTTATCACCTTTAGTTTAATGTTAATTGACTTTTGTTACATTTTAGGTGTTAATATTTTTATTCGCAGAAAAGAAACTGGCATAATTTTACAATACTTCTAATTTGGCTTGAAAATATATGTTTAACCAGATGCCGGATAAGAAAGTCTTGAGCACCCCCCCCCCCTGTATCAAGCTCTTAAATGCATTATTATCATTGTTACATATTTTTTAATTACACTGTATTCGAGGTTTTGTACTGAATAAAGTAAATTTAAAGAACTGTTTAAATTGCTGTCGCTAATTCTGATTAGTTTCTGGTGTTGCTGTTGCTATTGCTGATCCAATAGTTTGAGCGATTTTATTATACTCTGGGCTAAATCGCGCCGGGCGTGGTGGAGGATAGCTCTTGAAGGGCCCATTTCTTATCCTGCAAATTTCACATCAAAATTATATAGGTAGAAAAAGTGAAAAGATACAATAAAATATATTTAAAAATAAAAAAAATTATAAAAATTTTTCAAAAATATTAAAAAACCATAAAAAAGGATAAGATAAGTGTATATAAAAAAGAATATAAATATATCAATGAGTTATTAAATATACATATAAATAAAAAAGATACGAAGATTAGGTTAGAATAAATATTTAATAAGACAAGAAAAGACAAAAATAACCAAATGTCCGGAAAAGTTTTCAACCCATACAAGAGTCAAAATCTAAGAACTACGCAAGCTAGCGTTGTATCACTATTTAAAATGGATTTATAGTAATGAATAAGACGAAAATAAGTGTATTGTATATGTCAAGCATCTGGCCCGAAGGTCAAAAAATAAAAATATTAACATGAACAGTTGTCCTTATAGATTAACAATTACAATTTTAATCTCTCATTGTAATATGAAGAATTTTAACAGTTTCACTGATAGGGCTCCAATCTCAACACTCAAATACTTAAAAACTAAACAAAAATTATTTGTCCGAACAGTTATTTTCCCCAATTTTAAGATTCCATGAGAATTGTTTGAGCCCCGAGCGAACGGGAAAGAAATATTATTGGGAGACGGGCCAGGTGAATGAATAAAATGTTCATAAAATATATCCCTGGTTCAGAATTCACAAGTACAGAGGTACAGAGGTACAGAGGTACAGAGGTACATAGGTACAGTGGTACAGAGGTACAGAGGTACAGTGGTACAGAGGTACAGAGGTACAGAGGTACAGAGGTACAGAGGTACAGAGATACAGAGGTACAGAGGTACAGAGGTACAGAGGTACAGAGGTACAGAGGTACAGAGGTACAGAGATACAGAGGTAAAGAGGTACAGAGGTACAGAGGTACAGAGGTACAAATGTTCAATAACTATGAAATCAGAAGCTCTGGAAAAACAGGACTTTTTCCTCTTCAATTATTTATTCAAAAAACTTCCTTCTATGAGTTCAGGGTTGGGGGAAGGGGTTAAAAAGTTGACTATTTCACCTGTATTTGTTTAAGTATAGCAGAATACTGAACTACAAGGTTAGAAAACTCCGGTCCAACAACACTAATTACAAAACACAAACTCAAATAATAAAAAAAAGAATGAATGGGAATATAAAAAAAATGGGAATATAAGAAAAAGGGTAATTTCCTAGATAACGATTTTTGCAGGTCAAAAGTAAAACAAAAAAAATAATTACAATTATTTCCTCTGTTTTACAGAGTTTCTTAAAGATCATTTTGCATCTAAATACCGGTATTTTGCATCTAAATACCGGTATTTTGCATCTAAATACCGGTATTTTGCTTCTAAATACCGGTATTTTTCCACTGCTTTTCACAGTAAGTATCTATATAAAGAGTTGAAAAATGTCAATAAAACATTACTTTTCAAATATGCGAATTGCAGAAAAATTCGCCTTAGGAAAAAGTGCTCACATTAGGCAAAATGTTCGTCAAAAGGTTACATGTTATTTTTTTATATCTTAGAGGTCCTTCAAGCACACTGTGAAGGTAAGATGCTCAAAATTTTACAAATTGGTGACCAAAAGATTTAGATTTTTGTAAAATTTGAAAATTTTGCGAGAAAAGGTATTATTAAATCCGTGAACTTTTTTGTTATGTTTTATATTGTACAAAGAGAAGATGCTCATAGATAGAGCCATAATGAAAACGTGTAGTAATTTATAAATAGGCTGTTTTTGTTCCTGTATTGAGATATTGTATTGTTAAGCGAGGTTAGAGTACACTCTGCAGTACTAATCTTCTCACTCAGTCGACTCTTCAACATTCTTAAACAGAAAACATGAAATTCAATATTAATGAAACTTATTTATCTAGAAAATCTTGAGATTTGAACAAGAAAATAAAGAGAAATTCCTGATGTTATTAGTTCAGTGCTTAAGACTAATTTCATTTTGATCCTGATACAGATTAGACCATGAACATTTCTTTATGATTCACTGATTTTTAAAACAAATTTTTCTTCGTTTTAAACAATTCTCCTTCTATTTGTCGCGTATTCTTAAGCTTAATCTTGATTTACCATCAAAGTTTAGGAAAGTTATAATAATCTCTTATTTTTTTAAAAGAGGAGATTTGTGTTTAGGGTGCAAATAGTTTTATTTAACAAGTGTTGGATGATTTTTGCTCATTGGATCCAATGGATCCGGATTACAGGTTAGCAATAATCCTAATCTGCGCTATTTCAAGCATTTTTAAGCATTTAGAATAATATTAATAATATTGGAGTACATAGATTTATGACCTTAAGTTAATTAGCAGAACTGACTGACCTGATGGCTTTCAAAGCGTCCTTGCTGTAGGTAGAATGCTTTATTTCAAGTTCAAGGCAACTCAACTTTAGCCGGATAGTTTCACACTTAGCTCTAGATAATTTAAATAGTATTATCACATAGAAATATCAATAAATAATATTAGCAGACACTTTCAAGTTACTGTACTCTTTGCACTAGAAATGGTTGCGATTTCAAACATTTTCTGATTGAAAACAAAAAAACAAATAAATTCAAAATACTAATTAAAATTTAAGTAGATCAAACATAAGAAACATACCCGTAAGCCCCTCCCCCCCCCGTTTGAAGAGCCCCAGTCCCAAGTACGTGCACAAACATAATAAGGAAAAAGATATAAAAGTCCCCGTTCGTTCAAGATATTTTCAAAGAAACCCCTAATTTTTAAGTTTTTCTACTAGACTTGATTAATGGATTTTTTTATTCTATCTTGGAATCTAAGTGTAGGATCTGGAAGCCCCCTCCCCCCCTATTTCACTTTTGACCTTTTTAATACCTCATATATTGAACTTGAACCGATGTAGCATCCAGCTTTGTACCTGACAATCTCCAAGATTCAAATTTATTATTTACAATTTTCTTAAAACTTAAGATGGAGCTGAGATGGAAAATTTCTCTCTGATCTCTAATTGGTCAATTACCGGAGAGATCGGAGGGGAAGAGTTAAATCGGAAAGAAAGAGTTTATCTTGCTAAGAAGGACAGAAGTTCAACTCCTTCCGATCATTTAAAAGTTCCTTTCTCCAGAAGCAGAAAAAAATTTTATAATTGAATCCACGATTTGATGTGCAATCAAAATTCTTGTTAAAACTAAAACACGACATTTATAAGTACCTAAAATTACAAAAATATTTCTTGAAATGTGAATCCTAGGTTCCTGCATAGTGTTTACTGATCAAAATATTAAGTTTCTCTCCCATACTCTGCAGTACGACACTTTGTTTACTAACAACACAATCATTTACCATCATGAATTTATAAGAACTTAAATGTAAAAATGTTAAATAAATAAAAATTACTTAACCATTAGTTAATAATAAAATGCATTAATGAATGTATTCCTGATAGCCTGCATTAGGTTTTTATTACAAAGTTTTATTTCTCCTTCAATTCTACGAACTTCTTCCACTAATTCTAAAAATACAGCAAATCAAGACAACAAAATATAATCGTGCTATGTTTAAAGAAATCAACAATCGTCAACATATTTATGTTAAGGCTAAAGTAAATAAAAATAAAGATAGTTAAGTTGTATACATACAATGAAAAATGAAACGTATGTAATCTGCTATATTTAAAATAAATATTTCGCTAACAATTCCGCTAATTGTTATTGGGCTATTTTAAAAAACGAGTCCTGGCCATTATGGCTGAAATCTACAAGATATTCAGGAGTCAATATAATTCCATTTCTGATCCCAAATGGGATCGGGGTTGGAAGTACATTTAGGGGCATTAAAATACACTTTCTGTGTCATTGTGAACTTTGGCAATATAAGAGATAAATTATTATATACAGAAAAATATACACTCCCTTGCAGTATACATTCTGCACTATGGAATTTTTTCTACAACTGAACATCATACAACATGGCTAATTTCTGCCTCTAATATCAATCAATCAACATTTGGGATCGTTGGAATCATGACTTATAAACTTAATGAACATTTTATTATTAATTATATTTATTTATAATATTATTAATTTATTTTATTAATAACAGAAAGACAAAAATTCCACTTTTTATTTAGAAGAGAGGGGGACACTGACCCTGTAAACGTCCATGGGATGGGGGGGGGGCACTGACCCATGTATATGTCCATGGGATGGGAGGGGGGAGGGGGGTAATGTTTTACCTGAAATCTTGTCATGAAGACGAATAAGATGAGGATGAAGCAAACTTCGCCGAGTTTCTAAAATAATTAAAAATACTAGGCTCTTCTGATTCAAGTTTAAATTGTGGCTTTATCTGTTCATACAAAATAAAACAATTAATCAGCACTGTGTTAACCTTCAACCAGCTTGTCAAGTCAAGTATTCTTGACAAAATTTTATTTTCTTTCAAAATAATCAGAATCAGGGACAATCAAAAGAGGGAAAAGAAAATATCTTGCTAGTTCCAATCTCCAGAAGCAGAAATTTTTTTTATAATAGAATCCACGATTTGACGTGCTATTAAAATTCTTCTTAAAAATAAAACACGACATTTATAAGTACCTAAAATTACAAACATATTATTTGAAATGTGAATCCTAGGTTCCTGCATAGTGTTTACTGATCAAAATAAGAGAGAAACGATGAAAAGAATCAAATCAGAATTTTTCTGTATCAACTCTATCCAATTCATAAGATTAAATATTCAAGCATAATAAATTGTTTAAAAAAATAAAAAATGATAAAAAGATCACGGATTTCATCATATTTTTTCGTACATTAAACATTTTTTAGATGTCAAATCTTTGAAATTCTGAGCATCCTTAAACCTTCCCTGGGGTCACGATTATTGCCATAAAAGATGTGGGCTGAATCAGTACAGTCGTTTATTGGATACAAACAGACAAACACCATAACAGACAAGCAAAGTATATCTAGAGAAGTCAATTCCTAATTATTCCTTTATTTTTCACCTTTAAAATAAGTTCTTTTGTCTGTAAGGGTTTTTGTCATTATAAAATATAAGAACGCACAAAAGTGTCACAAACATCTATTAGAAGGAAAATAGTTTTTACAAGTTGAGTTACCTAATTCACTATCATTACTGAGTATACTATACAGGGATCTAGTTTCTTCAAACAATCTTTCTTCCATGCTCTAAAAAAATAGATAGATACATGATTTTAAAAAACTTTTCTATTATTGTAATAATTTTACGTAAAGCATAATACCATATTAATAAAAATAATATTTTTAATTCAAATGGAAAAAAATCTGAAATATTTTTATTATGTTGGAGACAACAATTTGGCTAAATTTATCAATAAATCAAATAAAAGATCTTGAACTAAACCCTTCTGGAATGTGGGAAGAACAAAACGATGTTAGGTAATTCCCAGTGGCTTTTCCCAAGCGACAATTTCCCAAGGGTATTTTCCCAAGTGGCAACTTCTCAAGTGTATTTTCCCAAGTGGTAACTTCCCAAATGTGCAATTTCCCAAGCGGCAACTTCCTAAGTCTGTCCTTGTCATAGCGCTCGGCCCATAGCTTTTCTAGCCTCAGCGCTCGGCCCCTAGTCAGTCCTAGCCGCAGCACTCGGCCCCTTTGCAGCCTGCGGCGCCTCAGAAAGCCTCACCTAACTTTGGGAAGTAGCCTTTGGGAAAATGTACATTTGGGAAGTTGCCTTTTAAAAAATTATCACTTGGAAAGTCAATGCCTTCGGGAAAGAACCTAGCACCAACAAAACAACCCGCACCTCTCTCAAAGCCTTCTGTAGTTCAGGTTTCATCCTCTGCTCTGGGATAAGAGATGAGTCCAAGCCTAGGGTTGTGATCTCCTCCCCTCCTCCTCCACCTCCCACTCCTCTAAGTTCGTCTTTCTCAGTTTTACCAAGCACAATAAAACCTGATTGACAAAAAATTTCAATATCTATATATATATATAAAACGCAGTAATTTCTGTGTTTTCAGATTTTATGTCTGATCATGACTTATGAACCCCCTGACCTATTTGTCTCAAATTTTGATTGGGGAACACGATAGAACCATGGTAATGTTCTTACCTTGATAATTTCTTTTAAAATTAAGTAGGTTGACTTTTTTAGAGAAAGTTTAGTTTTCAGGCAAAGCTGGGTTCCCAAGCAAGTGATGTAATAAAGATATTTTTCAAAATCATTTAGAGCTTGGGAAAAGATATGGAAAAGGGACTTTCTGAACTTTTTTGCTTCTGCCAAAAAGAATGAGTTTTAATTCTTTTTTAAAAAGGATTGTTGCATTAAGCTTTTGTTTTCTTGCTTTTAAAATTTCTTGAATTAAAAACTTTATAAACTTACTTGAAATAAGTTCAGCCTGGGTTAAACTATTTGATAGTTCAGATTGCTGTGGGAAGATATAGTTCATAAACTTACTTGAAATAAGTTCAGCCTGGGTTAAACTATTTAATAGTTCAGATTGCTGTAGGAAGATATAGTTCATAAACTTACTTGAAATAAGTTCAGCCTGGGTTAAACTATTAAGTTCAGATTGCTGTGGGAAGATATAGTTCATAAACTTATTTGAAATAAGTTCAGCCTGGGTTAAACTATTTGATAGTTCAGATTGCTGTGGGAAGATATAGTTCATAAACTTACTTGAAATAAGTTCAGCCTGGGTTAAACTATTTGATAGTTCAGATTGCTGTGGGAAGGTGGGGTCCAGAGAAATATCTTAAAATACAATTAATATAATTATTACACAAATATTTGACTAATCAGATAGACCCCCCCCCCCCCGTACGTAAAGGCTAGAGTAGTCCAGGTGGGGGAAATGGGAAAAACTCAATTTTGAATTGCAAGCTTTGAAACTAAATGAAATTGAGTCTTTGCCACAAGCTCAAATTTTCTAACCTCTTTATCTATAGCAACCTGATGGTGTATGTTCCATTCTTTATCTGAGAATGTTTACCATTTCAGATGACAATTATACAATGAGATTAGGCTTCATTTATTGAGTAAATAGCCAAAAGAACCACCAGGAAAGCATTTTTGTCATTTTCAGTTACATTTATGTCTTTTATTGATATTCTAAGCAATTGCAGAGATTTCTTATTTTAAACCTGAGAAGTATGTATGTGCTAGACCTGCCTCAGGAACGTGATCTTATGTGTTATCTGTTGCAGATAAAATTACATGAGATCTCAGATTAAGAATAAGAATAATTATAAGATCTGAAAGGGAACCCGACATGGAAACCCCAGACCGCCCTCAGGGTGCAGAGCATCAACATGCAGTCTGCAGCCTGGAAGTTCCAAAGATGTGGAGAACAGGGGAGTTGCCGGTATGCCTCGATCCGGCGAATCTCTAAGGTTTGTAGATCAACAGTGTAAATCTTTGTTATTTCAACCTTAGATTGTTTGATCTAACAGAATTCATAGTTGAAATATCAAAGGTATATAGGGATTACAAAATACGAGTTTGTGACAAAGACTCAATTCCTTTTTTTAAAAAAATATGTAATTCTCGCAAAAAAGTTTTTCAATCATTCAGAAAACTAAAAGTGAGAGAAATTACTATTAATTTTCTTCAATCCAAATGTTTTAATTCCAAGATAAGTACATAATCTTCTAGCAAAGTTTTAAATAATTAAATATATCAAGTATTTACTAGTGCATGTAAATCTACCTGAGATAGTTTGATGAAGGATTACAGCTCGGAGAAATCGTTTCCGCTTCTCATTTAAACTCTTCCGTGCAGTTTCCAGCTTATCAGCAGAGTCCTGAGGTTAAAACCTGTCTATCTTAAATCTGTTAATATTGACGGACAAATTGCAGGTATCTCGTTCAGTGAATTATTCACTTATCATCTCTTTCTGGATGACCCGTAAATATATCCAGACTGAAACGTAAATTCTTCAATTTTAAAAATAACGCTATGGATATCTAGTTTGGTTGATGTGGTTAAGTTCTATCTAAGCCTAATTTAAGTTCAATTAACAATTACTATTATTGTTAGTCTGATGATGTTTTCTATTACAGGACTATATCATGATACTGGAAGAGTCTCCAGGAACAGGCTATTTATATGTTATTGTTTTGGTTACATTTATATATTGTTGTGTACTTTACATCTTTCATGTTTCAGATATAAATACTCCTAGGCTTGGGGGTTTTATATATATCAGCTACAGGGTGTCCCACATCATATTAGACCGTCAACGGGTCTAAATTGCGATTTTCGGGACTAATAAGAAAATTTAATTCGAATAAATCATTTTGAAAAATAACATAAGGCTTATATAAGAATTTTCTTGCGGAAAATGATAAGTTCTTCGAGTATTAAGGGTTTATTTTGTCGTTAAAGATTAGAGATAATCTAATATGATATGGGACGCTCTGTATTATTGTACATATTCATTTCCAGAGAATATGTGTCACTGACATTATTATGCTAGTACTCAGGTATATTAGTCAATTTATCAATTATTGCATATTGTTGTTGTTGTTGTAGCCATTGAACCATAGTAGCATATATGGACAATAGACATGGAATAATTAAAGTATTGTTGGCCACCAACTGAATATGGGGCGATGTTTATTACAACTGTCTAATGGACCCGCATATTTAATCGAACCTACTCAATTATTACATCACCCTGGCCGATTTAAACGTTGGCAGGTTTGCATGTCGTCATTCAACGTAATGACCTTCGACAACGACTGTAATTTAAATCCATCAGTAGGAATGCTGGGAGCAAATGCCTGTTGTTAAAACAACAGTCAATATTTATTTTGTTTACTTAATATGTACTAAATGTAAAATCTTTGTGACAGAAACAATCTCATGAACTGACGAGGGTCAACCCAGACCTAAATATATTTTCAATAAATGTGGAATTAGCATCTACTTTTTTTTCTACAGAGGTTTGGTCCATCACCAGCACCGTATTTAAAAGTAAAATACTCTTTGTATAGTGTAAATTGTCAAGGTGTTATTTTAAGTGATATGTTTTTTCATAATTACCTTTGAGAGTCCAGTTTCTGTGAGTCGTTCATTTAGTTTAGACATCAGGGAATTAAACTGGGGAAGGTTTTCAATACTATCCTCCATTTTTCTCTGTAACAGGGGGTGCTTAATTCACAATGCGTCTTGACAATGGTCATGATGGACTTAACAAAAGTCTTGATGGACATAACAAGGGTCAAAGGGAACTGATAAGTGTAAGAAATGGATCATAAATGCATAAAGATCATGACAATTTGTGTTAATTCGCATAATAAATATTTTATAAATGGAGACATGAACGGATTTAAGGTATAAGAGGTAAAATAAACTACAAAGCAAGATCCATTATAATTTTAAGTTAGTTTATTACAGTGCATCTAATGGTTTGACTAGTTATATTTTGACAGTTTATTCAACATAAACCAACTAACTGCGTACAGGAAACCAGTTGGACTGTTTACACAATCAGTACTCACGTACTCCTTCACCTCATCAATAGACATTTCTCGAACATTAATCAACTCTCCTTCTGCTTGAAGTCCTCCTCCTTGGGACACCTACATTACACAGATTTAAATTTAATCTTTTGAATTACTGGACATCAAAAGGCAAGTTTTTCTTTTTTTTTATACCTTTTATCCAAATATTAATATTAAATATCATTTTGGACGATTCAGATGACAAAACCATTAAAAAGCATATCTAACTGGTGTGGGGGGAGGGTGAATTTACAAGAAAATATACAATCCTGTTTTATTATTAAAGAGATGAATGCTTTTTACCCCGCCCCTCCATTTTCCTGTTCTAACTCAAAAATAATCTTTTTTTACATTCAGGGCAAGAACAAAACTTTTTGCAAAAATTTAAATGCGTAATATTAACTGTTAATTTTAGGCGAAAATAATGTTCTTTGGGGTAAAATTAAATTTTTTTAAAATTTAATTGAAATATTGCTCGATTGAAGCCCTTTTTTGGCCCGACAGCAGGGGTGTTTACAATTCGCTAAAAAAAAACATTAAAAAAATTGTTCGCACTCCGAGCACAATTTTATTCAAAAATATGATAAAAATACCCTTTACTCAATCATTTTTCGATATAGTCAAACATTTAAAAAAAATATTTGCGCTTCGAGTACAAATTCAGAACAAGCCAATTTTTTTTGGAGTACTAGAGAGTAAACACTCCCCAATTAAAATGATGGGAAATGATTTAAAAGAAAAAAAATACTCCTGGACTGACAAATAATCAATCAAAACTTCTTTGCTAGAACCACCATACCAAAAGGTCAAAAAATTTGCCTGCGGCGCCATCAATGCAAAATGCATCCTTATGAGCTTTATTTTGCACTGCAATATTAATCTTAAAAAATTATGTCTTTTTAGTTATCGAATTTGGGGAAGGAAATCAAAAAATAATTCAGAGAGGGGGAAAAGAATAAAAAAATTGGAATTATATACACCCCTGGGAAAGTCAAATTTCTTGCAGATTTTAGTTTTAGTTTTGCTAGAAAAGTTTCTTTTACCTTCTGATTATCTGACACCTCGGCATAGAATAGGGTTTGCAAGTCTCCGCAAGAACCTGTAATACATTCTTATTAATTCAAATGACTTAAAAAGACAACATTTGAGACCTAACTACCTGAAGATAAAGGATATCTGGCCTACTTACAGATGAAGGATATCTGGCCTACTAACAGATGAAGGATATCTTTCCTACCAACAGATGAAGGATATCTTTCCTACCTACAGATAAAGGATATCTGTCCTACCTACAGATCAAGGATATCTGTCCTACCTACAGACGAAGGATATCTTTCCTACCTAAAGATGAAGGATATCTGTCCTAACTAGAGATAAAAGAAATCTGTCCTACCTAAAAATGAAGGATATTTGTCCTACCTAGAGATGAAGGATATCTTTCCTACCTACAGATGAAGGATATCCTTCTTAAATACAGATAAAGTATATCTTTTCCACCAACAGATGAAGGATATCTTATCTACCTACAGATGAAGGATATCTTATCTACCTACAGATGAAGGATATCTGTCCTACCTACAGATGAAGGATATCTGTCCTACCTACAGATAAAGGATATCTGGCCTAACTAAGGATAAAGAATATCTGTCCTATCTATAGATCAAGGATATAAATCCTTCCTACCAAGCGATGAGAGATATCTTTCCTACCTACAGATGAAGGATATATTTCCTACCTACAGATAAAGGATATCTGTCATATCTACAGATGAAGGATATCTTATCTACCTACAGATGAAGGATATCTGTCCTGCCTACAGATGAAGGATATCTGTCCTTCCTACATATGAAGGATATCTGTCCTACCTACAGATGAAGGATATCTGTCCTACCTACAGATGAAGGATATCTGTCCTGCCTACAGATGAAGGATATCTGTCCTACCTACAGATGAAGGATATCTGTCCTACCTAATGAAGGATATCTGTCCTACCTACAGATGAAGGATATCTGTCCTACCTACAGATGAAGGATAACTGGATACTTTTTCTAGGTTTTCCACTTGTATTTCATATCCGCACTCCTGATAAAAAATCAACATTATCTAAAAATAATTGTCCCCCATACAAGACATTTTCGGGGGACAAAACTATTGACCGACGGATTTACAAATAACAGATTACATCTTTAAGTGTCCCTTCCTTTACAGAGAGGCGTGCTCGATTCACAACGGTATCCTTAGTCTGAGCAAAAATTACCAAGACATTCATGATTTTTACATGAAAAAATTACAATTTTCAATTAAGGTTTTATTGTAAAAGTAACTTGCGGAAAATCAGAATTTTAGCAGATATAGTTTAAATTTTGCTAGAAAAAGTTAGGGGATTGGGATAAACTGAACATTTCCATTCAAAATAAATAGTTTAAAAATTGGAAAATCAAATTATTTTTTTGGGGATATTGTTTTTTCCTCGAGAACTTCAGCAACTGCTGTATCCTCTAGACTGAGATCCTTGTCAACTATCCCTGCACACAGCTCCAGGGTTACACCAACCTTACCATCAACATCCTCCCATCCAACACCTACCAGAGGACACACACACCATACAATTATTTTAACAAAGAGGTATCACTTAACCACAAGTTTTACTACGATATTCACAAAAATAAGAAAAAACTCAATTTTACTTCATTAAGAGTATTTTAACAGCAAAATCAGCGAAATTTTGAGAATGATTAAAAATGAAAACTTTCCGAGTTGAACGATGCAATTTCTTGAAAATGAATTTAAAAGATCAATAAATGGGCGAAAAAAATTTATTTTTAGATGAGTGTTTTCCTTCCCAGATTTTATCTCAATGTTCTTCTCTGCACATACCCTAAAATAGTTGAGATATATATTTTCTTTTAAAATCCCCTCCCTCTCTTCGACTAATATTTTTTTTTGAAAATTATTTGTTTGTTTTTTAAACTGCCGATGAATGAATTTTTGGAATGCATAAAAAGGGGATGGTGGAGTTGGCACATTTGATGTAGGGGGGGGGGG